GATTTAGTATAGAATCATGAGAAAATTTTACTCATTTCACTTACTGTACGTGCATATCAAGTGTTCGATTAATTACTCCAAATGCATTTTTGCATTAACTAGCTACTGTTTTTTCTAAGTTCTGTCACTTTTTTTGAGTTTCGGTCACTTTTTATAGTACTTGCCACTATTTTCTATTACTTTTTTGGTTTTCACTTTTTTGAACAAAATCACCTTTTTTATAAAAGTGAGATTGTGTTACACTGTCACTAACTTAATTTTATGCATTACCATCTAGGGATATCAAAGTTGCTCGTCAATTTTATAAAAGTGACGTTGTGTCACTTTTTTAGGTTTTTGTTACCTTTTAAGTTTTTGTCACTTTTTNCTAACATAATCAACATGTGGATTTGCCTAGACATGCTGATTATTTTAAGAACATGATTACTGATACTGCACAAATGGATAATGCTATTTTGGTATTTGTCATTTTTATATTTGTATCACTTTTTGAGAATGCGTGTGACTTTTTTTTTTTTGTTTTGTCACTTTTTTTTAAGTTTGTGTCACTTTTTTTAAAAAAAATCACATTTTTGAAAAAAAGTAAAAAAGTTACAATTTTTATAAAAAAAGTGACATTGTGTCACTTTTTCATTTTATACAGTATTTTTTACTTCCTAAAATCCTTTCATGTGATTTTTCAAAACATCCATAATTTTAAGAGTATATTTGTAACTACCCCTAAAGTCTATGGTCACTTTGGAAGCCCATCAATTAGATACTGGTAACAGATCTAAAAAAGAACTCGAGCCTTTCGTAAAACGACTAGATCGAAATGGACCAAAACAGTTCATAAAAAACTACAAGCCCTTGTTTGATAATCATTATTTCAAAACTATTTTTTCTCATACTCATTTTCAACTACACGTTCCACATAAAATATTTTGCACTTAAACTCAAAAAAATTTCCTACTTTTTAACCACATATTCTTCCAAAAATCACTATTCCAAAATCATTTTAATGGTTGTCAATTCATAAATTCACTAGAAACCTTTACTAATAATTTTTTTTATTCTAAGAATACTGTATTTAATTATTTTTAATTTATTTTTTTTACATGTATCTTATAACACATTGTGTTATGTTGTTACACAACTTGTTTCCTCCACCACCATCGTTGCAATCCCAACTAATTGCAACAAATTATGTTACATATCTTGTTAATTTGCAACTTGTAATCGTTGTAATCCCAACTTGTCATGCTCACTCTCATTGCAACTATAAGTGTTATACCCTAAGTTCAATCGACTTTGAACATAAAAACTTTTAATATATAATTGATGCATATTTATGGCAAGATTTTTTAATTGAATTAATGTTCTAATTAATTGAATAATAGAATCCGTAGATTCAAGTTTTGATTATTTGTTAATACGAGGAGTGGTGATTGCCAGATACAAATTAAATATGACTGAATCTTAAATCGTCCATGGCGTATGTAATAACGAGATACAAATATCGTTAATTACGAATAGACCATCACGTGTGACATTTCTTACTTGTATAGAAAGTAGCTGATCTTACAAGCTAAATTGTGGTGACATTTAAATGAACAAGTGGATATTTTGTTATGGAACAAAATATTGGAGACCAGGTGGGGAGATTCCACATGGATAACTATTTGAGTGTCAGTGGTTAATCTCTAACGTTCGATACTAGAATTTGTCCTTCGACTTGAGGTTATCATATTGTCTTATATAAGGATAGTCATACTTTGGTGATGTTGGATGTTGCTCTGCCAAGGGTCATTAATTCGGCATCATTCGAGTATGTCAAAAATAAGTTATGAATGATCAATATAGGATTCGTCAATGTTTGATAGTAAAAAATTATGATCTACATTTCATTCAGTTAAGTTAATAACGAAATCATTGACCAATGTGTACTCATAAGTCGAAAACTCATTTTCGACTTACATTAACTTAACAGTGAGATGAAAGATATGATCGATAATTTAGATTGACACATATCAATATCTCATAATTAATTAAATCATATTCACGAAATGAATATAGTTTCAGGGTAAACCAACAAGTTTGATTTTTTCATACCACGTGATATTTTCCGTCATGTATTGTTCTGACACATTGCTAGATGTCAATTTAGGACGACGATGTAATTGATGAAAAATTAAAAAGAGATATTTTAATTTATCGATTTTGATTAGATCAAAATGATAATTTACTTTGTTAGACATTGTGATCAGGAACATGATGGACCACAAAACACAAAGAAAATCATTGGTGAAAATATTTCAATTTTCCTTGTGTATGTTAAGTAAATTTTCAACAATGGTGTCAGAGGCTACTTTGTGTTTGTTAGAAATTGTTTCCTATCATATAACAATCAAAAATTGATTGTTGTTATTTTTTTCATGTTTGTAGCTTTTAAAGAAAATTATTTTTGTGTTCTAAAATCTATTTGTGAACGGAAAATAATTTTTTTGGTCGAAAATCTGGATATGGAGGAAATTGCCGAACCACTAGAGCGGTGGCGACGTGCTCCACCATACGCGGAAGCAATGCACTGCTGCGCTGCTGCATGATTGGCAATGGTAGTAGGCACCGCTGCACTGGAGTGAGTTGCATCGACAGTGACGTTGCTTCACCGCAGCACGAAGGCGCTCCTGTAATAAGCGTTATCGGGCTGCTTCAACATGACAGGAGGCCACCGTTGAGCCTTGCCACGGTAAGAAGATACGGACGCCGACAAGAATAAAAGAAAAATAAAATAGTTTTAGACATGTGTGAAGGATAGTGGGCAGGAGCCTATGTTACAATTTATGAAATTGCAAGCCCTTGCCTGAAATTTTATTTCTATTGTCAGTTAGCAATTTATTCAAAGAGGGCCTGTTCCCAAATTTATAAAATTGGGAGGCTCCGTTTGTAACTTTAAACCAAGGGTCCATTTGCAATTTTCAAAAAGAGTTTTGAATTTAAATCTGAATAGGTTTTGACCAAAATTTGAATTTTGACCAGAAATTTTAACTTTAACCCGTTTAAAATTATATTTAAAATTGACGATTATTATTATCGTTAAAAATGGATTTAACTTAAATATTAAACTTTGAACATAAATTGAATTTTATTTTGTTTATGAGTTTTATCCTAAATTAAAATGTTCATTCAATTGCAACTAGAGTTGGACACTTTAATTTAGTATTGAATTAAAATTGATTTGAATGAAATTATTCACCATAATATATTTTCGAAATTAGAGTTAGACTCTAATTTGACATTTAATTAGAATTTGGTTTTAATTAAATTGTCTCGCCCTTAATTAGAATTTGCATTTCATTAAATAAGTCCGCTAATTAAATTAATTAATTAATTTGATTAATTAATTATTTAATTGTTCCGATCCATTTGTCTAAATTAGTTTAGACGACTTTAATTACTAGAAACTTGAAACTTGTTTGCATATAATATTAG